TGATAATTAAGAAAATGCGTTGATGTTATTGAACCAACACCTAAAATTATACTAACTTTGTAGTTTAAAGGATCTTATAGAGTATGAATCAACCAAAAAAAAAGGCAGAGTATGATTGTATTGCTCCCAATCAAACTCTCAAATTAGACGAGAAGAAAGAATTGAGAATGAGAATGGAGAGAAAATGAGAAAGAGATAGACTAGAGAGAAAACAAAGAGATTGAAAATTTGTCATTTGTAAAAGACAAAAGTAAGTAATAATGACTGTTGAGTGTTGAGTGACTTTTCATTTACAAAAACTAATAAATGTGTTGTGGTCTTTTAAGTAATTTTAATAATAAAAAATAAGAGATATAAAAAATGTGAGATATGTGTCTTATAAAATATTGGGCTTTATCTCAAATATTTTAAATTTTTTAAAAAATAATTTATATCAATAATATTATTATTAAAAGAATTTAGAGACCTTATAAATTTGAGAGCTCTAGTCATTAGTCTTAATTACCTTATTGAATGTCTGGACTGGCCCTGAGGTTGTTAACTTATCTAACATAGAAAGAAACTTCTTATGACGGGTAATTCACCACCTACCCATAGAAAGTGTCCTTATTAGGGTCACTAGGAGCATGAACTCGTTCGTTCTCTCTAGTGTTTCATCGTCTTCTTCGTTTAGACTCTCCCTCTCTAGTTCTTCCTTACTTTTAATGACTCATTCGTGCATGCATACTGCATTGACGACCATCATGACCCACCCCTGCATAGGACCCGCCAAACACTTTTCCAATTTTTTCTTCCGCTCAAGGTCAGTTTCCACCGCTACCCAATGCTTTGTGTTAATTGTTTTGGTATGGTTGGATTATTTTGGGGAGGGGGGTAAGATTATGAATTTGTTCTGATATATATATGTTCTAGTGGAAATCTACCCGTTGCATTTGTCCATTGAAGCTGATGTAGTCGTTCTTGACTAGTTTGATCTTCTCATTTAATGCTAAGATTCTTGCATTAAATGTTGCTTCCTGTTCATAGACAATGCGTGAAGTTTCCTTGCCCTATTAGCGGCTGTGTCTGGATACAGCAGAGTCCTAGGAACCTTTTTGCCCTTTTCTAGTCTCATAGCTGTGAAGTTTTGTCATTGTCTAAAAAAGTAATGTACTTTTTCTGATACAAGCATACTTTTACTTTTGCGCTTGTTTTTCTCGTTCTTCTCTTCTATTTTCCCGTATTCAACTTTGTCCTTGATCTTATATATTTGTAGACGATGCCTGGATTTGTCTTTTGAGGCTTGATTCCTCAGGTGGTTGTGTGACAATTTCGTATGCGTCTGGTAGTCTTATATGTAGCTCAAACTTTGACCTTTATCTGAGCATTTGTCATTAACGTATTGGCTTTTCCTTTCGTCTGGGCAACTTATGTATGGTCAAACTTTTAATTTCTTCTGGTATTTCTTCTTGGTCGTTGACCATCTTCCGTCTGAGTCTTTATGTTTCGCCTTAGATTGTGCTTGATGTGCTATTTACAATTACAACAAAAGTGTTTCAACGGAAATCTCAACAGTTATCTTATATGAGTTGGCTGAAGTGGATGATTGTTGCTAGGATTGCATTTGGAAGTTTATTCAGTTCATGATGAAATTGTTGGTTTTCATTTTATTTTAAAAGTTGTAGGCATAAGCCACATAGCGCATTCTGCTTATGCAATTGACCTAGTTTGTCTTATATGTTACAAGGTTCTCATTTTCTTTTGTAATGACTTATTTCTATCCCTTGTCTATATTCACAGTGGAAGTTATATTTGTAGGTATAGTACTTTCTGCTGGTGCTATATTCTTTGTCTCCCCTCTTCACCCATTATAGGATGCTATATATAGTGATTTATTAATGATATTGTGTGCATTATGCAAATACATTTATGCCTTTTGGGTAAAGGAAGGCTATCATATAATAAACTCTGAACATATGGAATTTTATTCTGCTTATCATTGTTTTTCTTGTTGTTTCTATGGTCCACACGGATCTTTCATATCAATTTCTTCTTATGTGTGACATTGAAGGAAATATGGGCATCTCTAAATTCTGCTTCTACGTTGAATCAACCTTACACAAGTATCATTGGGATTTTATTCCTCATTGGCCCCTTCTTTGAGCTTTCCAAGTATCTCTTCTGCTTTTATGTATTCTGTTGTTGTTTTTGTTGAGGAGTTGATTCATTATTTGGGACTTTGGGAAACTGTCTTGTGCAGGATAAACTTGCAAAGCTGCGAAGGGAACTCCTTACACCTACATCAAAAAGAGGTGGAGGTGCTGGTGAAGGTTTTGATGTTACTAAAAGTGGGGGATTCAAGAGTTGGTCTTGTGGGCTTCCTTTCAGTTGGCAAATCTACTCTACTAACTAAGTTGACCGGGACATTTTCTGAGTCTAGCCATGTTCCTGAAGAAAATGGAGGGTCATCATGAAGGAATATTTAGAGTTGCTTCAATTTTAGTTTGTTAGGAGCTTTTAGGACCATCTTTATATTTTCGTTGTTTTTATGTACCTAAGTTTCTTAATTTTAAGGACCATTTTTATGTTTGAAAGATGCAAATCTATTATGTTCTAAATTTGAATTTAATATCTTTAGTTAATGAATGACACTTCTATTTGCATCATTTGTATTAGTTTATCTTTATCACATATGTTTGAGATGAGAATTTAAATAAACAGGTTGAAAAATGTAATTATAATAAACATTTAATTGCAAATTGGATAAGAACTGTAAAATGTACGTTTATATTTGCAGCAGTTTAAAACTGCCGCTAATTTTTAACTAGTATCAGTTTCCAAAATGGCGACACTTTCATAACTGCTGCAATTTTATCAAATATGTTGCGACTGTTTGTGTGGCTATTTAAAAAATCGTTGCAAAATGAAGTCTCGACGCACGAGATTGCGGTGGTTTATAAACTGCCGCAATATAGTTTTGTGGCGATCAAAACCGCCACCGCTCTTACTAAAAAATCCCCGCAAACAAACAAGTTTCTTGTCCTAGACATGGACTTGCTCTTGATTTTGTCTCTATCACCCTTCTATTCTTTTTCTAGCTTTTCCCCTTGTTTGCAATAAGAAGTTCCTTTAACCAAGATGAAGTACTCTATGTCTTCATTCTCATCTACTATTTAGAGCACCATTCTTTATTACATGGACAACAACAAAACCATTATAGGCTTCACCTATCATGGAAATCTGAAATGTCTTCCAAGAATCAGGTAAAGTTAATAATAGGAATAGTCTCAACAAGTCATCATCAAATTTGATATCCATTTTGAATAACTGATCAAAATGCCATTGAAATTCACTTAAGTAAAACTTATTATTCTATAATTTAGAAGCATACAGGGACTCAAACTTATCTCATAAGATTCTTGCACGTGTTTCATTAGCAGTAAGATTGTAAACATTGTCATTCATAAATTTTATAATAAAACCACACACCACACTTATTGGTGTTCAAAATCTTATTCTTCATAACATTTAGAATCCAACTTATTAGTAGCAAAGACAATAATATGTATATTCACAAATAGCAAGTCCTTCATCTTTCCCTTCCACAAGTCATAATTTGCTCCACTTAGAGTATCTTTGTTTATGCCTCCATCATTTAAACAAGACAAATAAGATAAACAACCCCTTAACCAAAGAGCTATAATTTCACTTTGACGGAGAAAATCCAACACAATTACAAAAACTCAATAACAAAGCTAAAACAATTGGAATAAAATCTCCCAACTTGCAAGAATTTGAAAGTAGCATAAAAGAAATAGAGCAAAAACATAAGTCACATAATGCACAATAAATATAAAGGTTTTTAATGCGAAAAATCCATCAATATAAGAGTAAAAATCAAAAAATGTCCAAATCAATGAAACAATTCTACTATGATCAATAGAAAAGTATAAAGAGTCTCTAACAAGTGCACAAATAGGACATACAATTAGTCAAAGCAAACCAAACAACAATGCTTTATAATATGAAATAAAATAGAAAGCCCTAAAAAAAGTTGTAAATGAACAATTTTTCCACCATTCTAGACTTTTAATCAAATATCAAACCGTTGAAAATGAACAATGATAACTTCTAATCTGCTTGTCAAATTTGAGCATGAATCAATCTTGAACAAATCTAGCTTCAATTTGAAAGTTACTTATCATTAGATATACGAATAGCACAATAATTTTTCATCTTGTAAATAATATCTCTTTCATCTCTAATTTGACCTCTCTTCACTTAATTGAGATGAAATGGATCTTTACACTTATGCTAGCTTTTACTCCGCATATGAAGGAGTTCAAAACCAAACATTTAGTATGTACTTATTTTTGTATTAGGATTCTCATAATCAACCCTTAAAAAAATTCGAAGTGTAACAAAAAAATTTCAACAGTTTCACTAGTCTAAGGTGTCGCAGCTTGGAGGGTTGTTGGATCTAATTGTCTAGATCAACTCCACCACAAAAAAAACATCTTTGTTGCAATCGTTATAAGACCAAACTTCTCGATTGACATGGGGATTTTAATTCTTATCATGCTATGGTGGATCTGATCTTCATGAAATAAAATCATTTTTGAAGGTGTAATAGATCGAGTGTCGTTATTGGCTGCACAAATTTACTCTCTGCAATAGGCTACTATCTGTAGGGTATTTAACGTTAGCAATCATAGCCGTTGTTTTGCCCCATTCCTTGGTTAGTTTCCTGGACGTGTCTGATTCCTCCAACTGTATCTTTAAACATTGACATGAGTTCCCTGCAAATCTCGAGTAGATGCGGTTATTGTGGTTTGATAAGAGCTCGTGATGGTTCCTTTATAAAAGGATTTTATGGTAATATTGCGGTTTCCAACATTTTGCATGTTTAAATATTGGTTCTTTTGTAAGGCTTGAACTTGTGATTTGGGAAGATTATATTATCTTAGATTGCACAATATATTTTCCCAATCTATAAGTTCAACTGAAGCTCAGTAATCAAAGACAATTCTTATTATAAGAAAATGTTTAAACATTTCAATTAAATGACAAGATAAAAACTCAATTCTCCAAATTGTGAATCACGACTCTGGTCATCAAATGAGTGCATATACCAATTAATCCAAATATGATGGAAGCCCCAACCAGGTAACATTAACATAATCCTGGGGGCAATGAGCTGGTATTCCAGGAAATATTAAGCCCACAAGCCTGTAAAATCTTATAACCCATCCTTCTTGATACTCAGGTCCATATTTATACACAATGGTGAAACTCCTTACAAGCTCCATAAAAGCATTCACCCACATCGGTATCATATCTTTCCACGAGAAGTAGTTCTTATTCGGCTCGTCTTCCATTTTCTACATTAATTAAATTCATATATAAAAGAAATTATTTTACGCTCATCAACAATTATATATTACAAATATCCTCAACAGGAAGCAATATTGTTCAAGCATAATAAGACCACTATAAGTATAAAAGTTTTGTCTCGGAGTATTTAACATATATTGTTGCATACTCAAAACTTGAATTTGAGACCACTTGTTAAATAAAATTATTCTAATTTAACAAGTTCTATTGAATTTGAATTATATGTGCAAATATATTAAATACTTGAAAGAAAGATTTTATCGTATATAATTATCTTACATAATTCGAACATGATTGTCTTTAATAAAAAGATATCTATGATCTATAAAAAAAATTAAAATGTTATATATACTTAATATTAATGTATAATTATCAAACTCAAATTAAAAACAGAAGTCTTATAATGACTTATTTACGTACCTTGCCTTTATAGCTCCTATCATAATAAAGACATGTCCCAAAGTGGTCGAACTTCATGATATTATTATCGAAGGGCAACCTAGTAACAATATCGTTGCCGTAAACAAACCTTAAATACTTAATACAATAATGTTTCAAATTTTGTTCCATGTAATTGGCAAATGTTCCATCTCCAACTCTAGGTTGTCCAAATGTGTATACCCCTTCAAGTCTTTCCAAAAGAAATGTCTCTTCATGCAGCATTAGTATTGCGGGAAAGAGAATGGCAAGAGCTCCACCAAGACTGTGACCCGTCAAAGTAAACTTTGCATTTTCATTTCCTTTCAATTTCAAATGCTTCTTTAGCAAATCCCTGATGGAGTAATAGGCACGTGGACGATTCTCATCGGTTTCGATTTGCTTAGGCCAACCAACAACGTTGTTCTTTAACTCTAGTTGTAACCCTAAGGCTTTCATGAAGCCAGCATGGGTTCTTCCGATATCAGGAAGCTCAAACCATGAGATGTCGAAATCAGTAGACCATGCATCAGCATCAAAGGGTTCGGTTCCTCTAAAAGCCACAACGTAGGTATCATGGTCTTCACCTTTCTCTAACATGATGAAAGCCTGAGTCGTAGCTTTATCTTGATAGTCTGTAAAATTTCAAACACCCAAAAATAGTTATTCTTTTTAATGTTTTGATCAATTAATGAGATGTGTATGGAGTTTGCTTTTTTTTTTTTTTTTAAGGGGCATATAAATTTGAGAAATGCTTTTTATTTTTATTTTTTCACAATTTTCAATTAATTAAAGAATGTTTGATTATTATACTCTTTTTCTTGTTTTCAAAAGTTTGTATAAAAACAATGAAAAGAATTTTTTTTATTTTCTATTTTTTATACAAACTTTTAAAAATGGGTCACAAAGTCAAGAAAAAGTAGCAATTTTATAAATAGCTAGAAATAAAAAATGAAGAAAAAAAATCTCAAACCAATTATTGCACCTAGAGTTCTTACCATTCCAGTAGTCACGACAATCAATGAGCTCCATCTACATGATCGAGAACACACAGCGTAAGATAGAGATACTCCAGTGCATTTAGCTTTATATCTTTCCAATAATTTAAAGAATGCAGAAAAAAGAAAAAAGTATCCTTTAGGTATCCTAAACAATATTAATTGTTATGACACTAACCCTTTAGGTTGATAAGGTAGTTAATAAAATCCTTCTGCAGCGTGTTGATATTGAAGGTAAAATTCAATTGTAATTATGTTTCACTTAGCTTCTACCACGGTTAATAACTTGTACATTAGCTCCCTCTAATGATTTAGAATTTTTCTTTATCACTCAAAATAGCCTGGTTATTAATTAACAATCCTTTGAAAATAAACTAATTAACGAGTGAGAACGAATAAGGCCATGTTTAAATTGGTGTAAGATGATAGAATATAGAAGGGAATGAAATACAATGATTTATTCTGTTGTTTGGATTAGTAAAACGAGGATGAAATACAATGGATTTTTTTAGAACGATTGAGATAGAAATGCATGACATATTCAAACAATGATAAAGATTTTACTTCATTTCACTTCATTCAATTTTTACCCACTCTATTTCATCTCATGTCCTTCGATCAATTCAAATACAGTCTCAAAGGTTTATATCAGAAGAAATTAACGAAAAAGCTATTCTATATACCTTCCAGTGGTCTACGACAATAGCGTGAACGAAAGCTTTATTCTCGTACGATACTTTAGAAGCCATCATAGACAAAGCAACATTGTACTTGTTGGGGTCTTCATATTTGATGCTCTTGTCTAACAATCTCACTCGTTTGTCCATATGACCAATCATTGACAAATAATTTATAGAATCTTTATTCACTACCTGCTTACCTGCTCGTAATTAATTTATACCAACAAATGCATAATCATCAGAAATTTTTATAAAATATAAAAAAAAAAACCTTAATTACTTCAAATTAAATTTAAATCACTTATTCAGTTGATGACACTTTAAGAAGTTATAATTAAAAATGTAAAATATAACTTCAACCGGCGAACTCAATGATCATTGATCAATGACAACAAATTGGTATAGGTAAGGCATGTAATCGATCTAAGTTTGCACAATTATATATCAAAATATAAACTTCAGCATACAAAGAGGAAAGTAACAAACCTTGGATACGATTAAATACAAGCATGAAGACATTGTAGTTATAGGAAGCCTTCGGGTTCAAAAATGACTCAACGATATCGCCAAAACATTGTAATATATCAGCCGTAGAGTAAAGAAGTTTTTGTACCAAAAGCGACAAAAATAGGAGCCACTTTTGGTAGGACCTTGGCTCGATAATGACCTCAAGGCATTGAACAAAGTCTTTTTCTTCTATGTCTCTTCCAAACAAGACCTGAAAGAGTTGAAAGAAACCCATTTTTTCGGGCTTCAAGAGCATAAATTTGGTAGCGAAAAGCTTTTCATTACTTTCACTCATGACTAACCCGAGAATAATTGGGAGGAAGAAATTAAGATGATTTTTGGATTCATTGCTTATCTCAAGACTTCAACGCACCCCACGTTTATATAGTATATATATAGTCGCGAAGGCCAACAAGAAAAACCTCATAAAAAAGAAACTAATTAACAAACAAACAAGATACAGAGAAAATGGGTCATATATATATTATAAATATATAATTGGTCTTTGCAAAAGAAAGTTGATGTCAATTGAATATTAATGCATTATGCACGTGCTTGATAATGTGAGTGTAAAAGGATTAATTTAATGAATGTCTAGGAACTAGCTAGGGGATTAAACTTAAAGGTAGTTTTATTTTAATTAAGTATTTTTTTTAGAAATATTTTAATTTAGTTGATATATATAACTTGGTGATATCTTTATTTAAATATTGTTAATTGTTAATTTGTTGCATGAGTGTAGAGGACCGACCCAAGATCTGATATTAGTTGTATTATTTATATTACACTTTTTTTTTTTACAATTTTTTATCAACACTATTATTTTCTATACCTCTCTCCATTATTTTTTATACGGGTGACAATTCAATTCAAGTATCTATCCAATTGTATAAAAATGAAAAATTAAGTCATTGGATTGAATCACCACCATTTTTGTTATTGTTTAAATGTGAATTTTCCAACATGTTTTTGCATTTGAAAGAATTAATTAATCCTGAGTTCATACTGGTTGAACACAATTAAGTCTTTGAAAGGTTGAATCCTTGAGTCTACCGTATTTGGATGCAAAAATGTATATTATCTTTTATCTTATAAAATTACTGGTTAAAAAGTAAACCATACTATACTTTAAATAAAAGGGGCTTTCATGATCCATGTTAAAAAAAAAATAATGAAATAAAATTTTTCTTCATAAATAAATATGATTCACGCGATATTCTAAAATTGACAACTAAAGATTAATTTATATATGTGAAATATGATTTTTATTAGTTAAATATTATTTGTATAAAAAAGATTAATGAATAAGTTAGATACTATTTTTATTGAACATATATTTTTTAGGGTGGATTATAATTTTTAATATATTTTTAATGAATTAATTAATGATTAATTTGTAACCATGTATGATAATTTAATTTAAAACATATCTTAATTATACATTTATTTAACACCCCATTTGATTACATCAACCACATCTTATTGGGAGAGGGTCCCACTTTAATTTAGCCTCTGACGGTATTTCAATATATTAGACTCTTACTTATCAAATAAAAGGAGACTATGGATAAGAAAAGCAGATAAATATAATTTAATATTTTTATTTAATTTAAAATTAAAAGGAATATATAGTTTTTGAGTTTAAAATAAATATTTTATTTTTATTGATAATTTCAATCACAATCCCTTTAATTAGTTATTTTTATCAAATTTTAATAACTCTTTAACCACATCCGGTCCTGTTCGGGATCGCGGGGCTCCCAATCTTTAGCTGGAAATAGTAGTGAAATACCATAGGTAGGTTTAACTTAATTATTATAGGTCCTGTTCCTATAATAATTCTTACTCTTTTTGACTACATTTTTTACAACAATCTTTGGAATACCCCCACCACTCGAATCAGATATTAAATAAATCCGTATTATATGTTACCAAGCGCAATAGACCACGACTAATCAAAGGGAAAAGCTTTAGTTCTAGCTTTAGTACCAACATCTGCTTCATCCTCAGCTTCCTTAAGCTTACCCCTCTTATAGCACAAGAATGAGGCATAATGCCTTACATTGCTTTCTATACGATCAATCAAACTAGCAAGACTAACAGAATTTTCAAGAGTTTTGTATAATCTTTGATTATGCATGTGATACTTTTAGGGTTGTCTATGATCTTGGTATATTTTTTTAAAGGAACATCATTAGTATTAATTAGGGGTGCTTCTCTGTTCTACCACTTTATCTTTTTTTAAAAAGACTATACACATGTGATACACGACCACGTACTTTATTCCGTAGTGGTTAAGTAGATTCCGGTGACACGGAGAAGGAAAGCATAACATAGCTGTTTTGGGGTGTGGGTTTCATGTGCCAACATTCGGATTGAGTGTCTGAACTGATTTGGAATCTCCAAAAATTAACGAGACAACCTTATATTATGACAAGAAGGAAAAAGCATGAGATCTTTTGACAAATTCAACTAATACACTCATTACAATTATAAAAAAAAAACCGCATTAGTATAAATATAGTTAATTTACTTTTGTAATATATTATCATATGTGTTGTTAAAAAAATTTAATAATATTTTTTTTATATAATTAGATAATTTTTTTTAAATATTATCAAAATAGTAATTTTGTAACATTTTAATAATATTTTTAAATTTTAGTTAAGTTTATAAAATAATTATTATTATTTTTAATACAAATTTAATTATCATTTATATTTTATGACTTTTAATTTCTTTCTAGTTTTTTAAGGTTGAGGAGATCTTTATTTTTATATTATTAATCTATATCAAATATTAAAGTTCATTTATTTTAAGTATACTTTATGTATATATACTTTTTATGTATTATTTATTTATTTCATATGTGATTTTAAATTTGAAAATAATTAAAAAAATAATATTAAGATAAAAAAATATTATTATATTTATAGTAATTTATTAATTCAATCTTTAATAGTATTTTAATAAATATAAGTAAATAAACATCGCTAAAAAAAAGTAAAATATAGTAGTCACCCTCATTTAGTGGCCATTTGGGAATCTATTGTATACTAACCTATGATTAATAATTTAAATATATGAATGAGAGGATTAGTTTATGAATGTCTAGCTAGAACGACACTCAATGGTCATTTTATTTTAATTAGCGTTACTAAATGGTACAAGGGATTTGTTACGAATAAGCACACATTCAAGTGTTTAAATTAATTTTATTAGTTAAATAATAAAAATAAATACATTTGGCAGAAATCATGATAATACAATGTTGAGTATAATATATTTTTATATCTTTATTTTGTTTTTAATATGATAAATGATGAAATTAGTTGTCGTTTTTAATATGATAAATGATTAAACTAGTTGAAAGATGATTGGTGCTTTACAAATAGCTTATAGTTTGCTTATAATCTTCTTTCATGAATTCTTGAAGCTTCAAATAACTCAAAAATGGTGGAGGAGGAGAGGAATGGATGTGCCACTTTATTGTAGGAAGATAAGCAAGAAAGTTCTTGTCATAAGAAGGATTACTTGATAAAAAATAAAAAAACTTAAGGGGAGATTTCTCCTTTAGAGGGAACTATATTGATAGAGAGAAAAACTAATCTCTTCTCATAAAATGCTCAAAGTGTCAAGTTTACAAGAGAAAACAAGTATATATAAGAGTTTAATAGCTTGTGGTGCAAGCTAAGTTAATCTATGTTAAAAATAACTTAAGTTAGGTTAACTTCAAGGCAAACTACTAGCCTAATTAGCCATCAAACATGTGCACCAAGTGTCACTATCTTAAATCTAAAATAGCCAATAAAGAGTTTTTCATGTGGACAAGTAAGAAAAGTATGACTTATGTCATCATTCTAGATCTAGAAAATCCATTAGGAGTTTGTCATGCGGCACATGTTTGGTGTAAGTAGGCAAGGTCATGTGGCATATTGGATGCTTGGTGAGACAAGTGGAACATGCGGAGACCACATGTTTTGGACATCCAAGACACTTGCACAAGCAAGTGGTCGTCTAAGCCATAGGCCACAAATGCCCAAACCGGGCCAACCAAGCCTAATATCAACCCATGGACTTTTTTAGTTGCACTTCTCTCAAACTACTATTTATACCCTCAAACTAAAACAATATAAGGACAATAATACATACACTACATGACTAAAATATAAGGTCCAAAAAAAGGAAAAATATATACTAGGAAAAAATACAATAAGAGAAAAGGGATAGCCTAATGAAAGCTTAGAATTTATAACTTCATCACGAATCTATTCTTCTTGTATCCTCCTTAACATGACTCCTTGTGATATGTCCAATGGTAGGCACTATGTCATCAATAAATAATTTGAGCTATTATTAGTTAGTGTTTAAAAATATTAACTAAAGGATAGTTAATGCTTGTTAATTTTAAGTATTTAGAAAAGAATATGCTAAACTTCACTATTTTAGTCTCTTATATATAATATTCAATTCGTGATTTAGATCTCCTAATTTATAAATATGCAATTTTAACTTCCTAATTATGTAAAATATGTAATTTTGATTCAAACATAAAATATTCACATTAACTGTTAAAACTATAATGTTGAGCATGATTTGAGATTAAATAAATGAAATGATGATTGATATTTAATAATATTTAAGCTAAATTGTACTTTAGGTCATCTTTTATGATTAATTTTCATCTATTTTTTATTTTTATGAAGAAAAAGTAAAAATTAAAAGTATAATTTAACTAAAATATTATTAAATATTATTTGTCACATCATTTACTTAATGGTTAAGTCATGGTTAACATTACAATTTTAATATAGTTATTATAAACATTTAATGTTTGAACTAAAATTGCAAATTTTACAAATTTGGAAACTAAAACTCTAGAAGAAACACAATTTTCAAATTCGACTGCTTACAACCTACAAAATTGGTTATACGGTCAATTTTATTTCACCAAATTTTATATCTGCTTAGTATTAAAATCAGGTGTTAATCGAATTTAAATAATCATTCCAAAAATAAGTTATAATAACTTATTTTCTATGCATGTGCAACAATATTAATCCCATTGAAACCAATCTCAAACAGCTAAGGTATCAAACAAAGAAAGACAAAGACGCATCTTTTAGCCCAACCTTGATGTCAAAATCTTCATCACCATCTTCCCCTTCAAGCCTCGCACTCACCAACCCACCATTTTCAAGCAACTCTTGTGACAACCTCACTTGCATCAAAAAACCAAAACAATAGTTTCTACACTCTATGGTTCATCACATAATACATTTTTTTTGAACGGAAAATAATATATATATATATATGATATTGGTACAAGGGGTATCAGAATCC